ATGGTAATACTGAAAACACCAAGTACAGGGATCGAGGTTATCCAGTCCCAATTTCCCGGGTACGTCCATCTCAGAGCAAGTAGTGTCCAAATGTTCAAGGAGTATTTGACTGTGGAAGGCTATATTAATGCCAAGAAGCTTCGAAATAACTGGTTCTACAGCCTTGTTCACCTCGCAGTGAATAATATCAAACCAAAATCCCCATACTCTGAGGTTCGTCTGGTTAGGCGTCGCCACGGACCAGCTGTCCAGGTGGACATTTTCAAGAAAGGATCTGACGAGAAGTTTTTATCAGTTGATCTCGTTCCTAGCCTCCAAGTCGAGGAGAGCTGGTATGTGCCGAAGCCTTTTACAGGGAAGCGATATTTGTTAAAAAACGAGTGTCTCTGGAGAAAGACATTTTCACCAAAGGAGAAACAACTCCTAGCGTCCATGGACAGGGAAGACCAAGGCTGTAGGCATGAGCTCCTTCAAATCGTGAAGACCGCAGTCAAGAGGCCGGTGACATCTTTACCACTGGATTCATATCACTTGAAAACCGCCTTCATGCACTACATCAAAAGGGGAGACCTGGATTGGGTAAGTGGAGACGCGTTGGGGAAAAATTTCGTTGGATTTCTTAGAGAATTACAGAGTCATATGGCGAGCAGAAATCTTCCTCACTATTGGTTGGATGATGTAAACGTTTTGGATGATTTCAAGAAAGGGGTTGTCCAGCAGATGGCGTATCGTTTAAGAAGCATCCTAAACAGCGAAGCAAGGCTGAACAAGATACTCAAATAGCCTTCATGACTCTGCTATATCTGTCTCTCTCGTACAATCAAAGCTATCTATCATTTCATTGAACTTGCAAAGATCGATTTTGGAAAAAACTAAATGTAAAGGCAAGAAAATATCCCTTGGTGAACATTAAAATTTAAGTTTATTCAGCATATTTTTTTATTCCTTATTACCCTTTTAGGTGGTTTACCTTGTAGACCCTTTGAGTATGACAGCCACGTCTCTCTTACGTGTTGGCTGGTTTTTTTTTTTTTTTCCCTGTTAGCAAAATAGTCAGCGGTCTTCCACTCAACCAAGTCCACATGTCGGCTTTTTTTTTCAAACCAATATGATAGAACTATAAAGAGCGGTTTCGACTCTCTTTGTTCATAAAAATCCATTCGTATCCAGTTTTGATGGAAACCAGGCTTGGCTTCGGCAGTTGCGTTGATTCGCATGTTTTACCACACTCTGAAAATTTGTATCAAGAGTTATTAAAGGAAGGATTTTTGGTATTCTGCAAAATTAAAACAACAACAAAAAGTGATTTTCTACAAAAAAAAAAGTAAATAAATAATGCTTACAATCACAATGTTGGTAATTTCTACAACAAAAGCAACAACATTGATAATAACGATAACACTAATAATGCTAATGATATGATAATGATGAAGATAATTTGACTGATACTGACTACTTCTACTAATTATAGTAATGAGATGGTGACGATGACAACGTTCCTCAAAATTTTTTCCACTTCGAAATTTTCAATGATTTTCCACTCTCCCAAGTCCACTTCCCAGATTCCTTTGATAAACCAATCTGCCATACTTTATTCCTCCAACTACTCAGATTCTAAATCTTCTGACTGATAAAATTCCATTCCTCATTGGGTTCAGTGGAAATTAAGTAACCACCTTGGCTTTTGCAGACATCACTGTTTTCAGACCAAGTTTCTTCCCCATCTCGTAAATGTGTACCGAGAATTTTGGAAACAGGCATTTTGGTACCACAGTGAACAATGCATATCGATAGATAAAAATATACAGATAATACTTATTAACTGATACTTGTATTTATGACGATAATGGTGATAAAAACTAAAGCAATGCTTGGAATAAGGTTTAAATTTTATCAGCGTTAATTTTGTTTTTAGGACAGGCTTCGCTATCCTTTAAATTCGTTGTTTTGTTTTCCTACCCATATTATTTTGGAATTGCTAACCAGCTAATGCAATTACAATGGTCAATCTGTGATTATTCTTATAAACCAGTCAAAAAACTTTCAAGTTCCATTTTACCAACATAAATTTTAAATCTGGAACTATACCCTCTCACCTGTTCCTTGTAATTGCATCATTAGAGTTGGAGTAATTGTAGATTACAAAATAAACATATGAACAAATGAGTTATCGCAAAAACAGCATTTGAAACACAGTAGAATCAACCTAGAATAGTATTAATTCACTATCTAAAGTTGTTTTCTTTCTACATTTAAACTTCTGGCCACTTTTTCTAACTTCAGTCGGGGAGCCGTCAAATAAAGTTTAAAACGCGTTGCAGCTTAGCTTCTTATCAATTTGAACAAGTCTTTATAATTGAAACGCGAGTCTAAATGACACGTTTCAGTGAAATTTTACCCTTAGAAATATTTAACCTGGTGTTATACCCATCGGCAGAAATATTGGACAAGATGGCGGCCGCGCTTGCGCATTTCGTCCATAATGGCGTCCAAATAATATAAGAAATTGTATGGAAATTTGTAAAATTTCTAAAATATAACAATCAGGAGCTCATGGTCCCGTCTACTCTCGATCGAGACATATTCAGTACTGATTCTGCTATTCATCATACCTCACAGGGACTCGATAAATAAAAACCACTTACTTCCCGAGCCAGTTCTTTTGTCATTGATCATTGACCTAGGTCGCCACACAGTTCTTCAAAATCCGTTGTTCTCCATCCCAAACACTCGCCTATTACAGGAAAGTGCATCAATAAAGTCAACTGCTCTCGATCGAATTGACTGCTACAGAGTTCGAAGCGTCCAAATATCCTGTAAAATTGCCATTTCCTCCCATCAAAAAACTTCTTTCCCTTATTTTCCATGTTGAGTAAGTGACGAGACGCCATGTTGAAAATTATGGCTGAAATAGTTAAACACGAGCAATGCTGATCTTCGAATCGTCGGCCATATTTGTTTATGTTCTTGCAGGGAAATAAATTAGTTCTCAGGTCCTTTTCGGAATAAAAATATGCCAGGCATTGAATGCAAATTCAGTAGTCTTAGCACAAAAATTAAATTAAAGCAAATCAAAATTCTGACATCATGTCATCACTCTGCCTCGAAAAATCCCAAAGATTTACTTGCAGGTCTTCTTTTCTTTTTCTTTTCATCAAATAGAAGATCTGCGATGCTCAAATTGTAAGTCATGATACGAAATACTCTTCTTTGCAGATCGAGCCGTGATCGCCGCCATATTGAATTCTCTTGATATTCTATTGTTCCGGAGTGTAATACGACATACCGCTGATAATTGTTCGCGGGCTCGAAATGTCCTTGATTTCTGGCGATGCGCTCCTTACATATCAAACACTTAGAATGACAACTTAACTCTGTTGTGAGCCAGATAAAATTAATGTACTTGTAATGCGCTATTGTTCTAAGCGTGCAACGTGACGGAACAAACGCTGGCCAAGAATGAATAATAATCCCATTGTTATTTTAACATTTTGAAACTCTTCGTCGAAAGCAATAACAATCCTAGTTTAAACTCTTATGCAAGACATTTTATGGGTTTGCCGCGCTTACAGAAAAAGAGACAAAAAGAGACTGTTGATATAGTCAAGCACTGCCAAAGAACAAAGAAATCTCATAAAGATAACTTTTTCGACGGTAAGGTGTTGGTATCACGGTTGCGCGCTGATCATTTCCAGAGTTTTAGGCCTTACGGCATAAAACATATACTTCTAACTGTATATTTCAATAACAAAATCAAGAGTTTGACATAGCTTGTATGTACTTACTCAGCGTAGAACGTATGGATTGGACTGTCAAGCCTTATATTTTTTACTGGAAAGAATCCCTTTCATCGCACCATAAATCATAAGTTTTCGTTAGCAGCTGTCAGTGCGCTTACTCTGGTTTTTCACATGGTAGCATCATGACGGATTTTTCAACGTCTTTCAACCCTTTTTGCTGGAGGTAGACTATAGTGGACATTATAATGCTCTGTTTTTCCATCTAAGAACGGACCAATGAGGCTAAAGACAATTGCGCATGGTGTGGAGAACTATTAAAACAAAAGAAACGCACGGCATAAAAATAACTGTATTTAGTTAGCGTTTTGGTTATATTTTACATGATATAGGGCCGGGTCCTTTAGATTGATAGCACTCCAAGAAATTCCCCTCTTCCTTAATTTATCATTTTTTCAATATCATGTCACGGCTTTTCCTCCGAATGAACTAGATGTGGTTCCTCCCCAAAAAATGGATTTGATTGGCTGAATATTTCAGTGACGAGGCAAATTTGCATTCGCTCCACTCGTTTTGGTTCAGACCTTAATTTCATATCGACAGATTTTAAAAGCTTCCTAAAATCAGATGGCTTATTTAAGATTAGTAGATACCACACAAATGATGTGTGCTTTTTGCGCGCGCAATGCTTGTTTTTATTGTCCCAGTTTCAAGGATACTTCCACTGTTATGGCTGACATCTCAGATTGAAATGTGACTCTTTCGAAAAACTGCCAATCTCACGCACCATAATAGTAAGCACCATTTGCTCGCGAGCTTACATATTTAAAAGTCTGAGTGAGTCATGCTAATTTGTTACGCATCACGAGAGTTCGATCATTTTCGTAATCCTCTGTTTATTCTTTACTCCTTATGATCCAATAGTAAGTGAAATCCCTTAGTCTCATTTCACTCAATAATCTTTAAAATATTTTAGGCTACATTTCAGAATATTGCCCTTTGAGCTCTTTAGACACCTTTTACAAGCTAACCCAGAGGATTTAGGGCAATCTCTTTAAACTTTTAAAAAAAAAATTGGATTTTATTAGATGAATATTTCAGTGACGTGGCAAATTTGCATTCGCCAAATCGTTTTGGTTCAGACTTTGATTTCATACCAACAGATTTTGAAAGCTTCTGAAAAATCAGGTGGGTGATTTTAGATTATTATTACACCCATTTTGAAATCACTGGTGATCCCTGTAATCTGATTGGCTCTAATTGGTGCGATTTATTCGCGAATCGCACCATTTTTTGCTTTAAATCGCATCATTTTCCCAGCCAATGAGGAGGCTACACTGAAAACAAAACAACCAATCAGATTTCAAGGCTTGTGTTCGGGAGCGATAACGAAAACCTCCTAAATGCGACTAAACTGGAAAACACAAGCGATAACGAAAATCTCCCAAATGCGACTAAATGCCGCTAAAAAAACTGCCACTTATTGCGACTAAAATGTGGCTAAAAAACTGCAATTCAAACTACGACAACACACACGCGAGAAATCGTAAGCGTAACTTGCTTACGACTGATTAACGTTAAATGTCTCAGCGCGCGCGCTAATTGCACGACACGCCAGTCCGGTACTTTCTTCTTAACAGCTTGTTTAAAGTAACCAATGTAATTGCAGGAAAATGAAAGACAAAGAGTATCATATGGCAAATTTTGCAACCCTTGTTTCCAAAATTCTTGTTTTTTCCCCGCCAAAAATGGGCGAATTTTATTTCAAACTAGCTCAGTACTGCATCAATAAAATATTGACTAAGTCCTGTACTTGGGCGATTTCAAAATGGATGTAATAAAGAGGTAATTGAACCTTGTGCCGTGCAATTTTGGTCTGAGATCATACTTGTGATTTCAAATCGAACTTGCGCTGTGCACTCGTTCGATTTTGAAATCACACGTAAGATTTCAGCCCAAATTGCACTCCACTCAGTTCAATTACCATTATGTATATACCACACGAGTGACGAGTGCTTTTTGCGCGCGCCGATTAGCCAGTTCGGAAGTGAATAGCAAGTACTATTCACCTCCGAGCAGTAGATGAGACGGAATTGCGCCTCAAGACTTTAATTTTCGACCATTTTCGGTATATAAATAAACTTATTTTTTGGTCTTTGTGTGGTACATAGTAAAGTAATTATTCCCGTTAGTCTCTGAGAATAATTGTTAATTGTAACATAACGCTGGTGCTTTTCTAATCTAACTGCTATTGAGCCATCATAGCCAAACCTTTATGAACGCACGACCGGCCATGCGTGTATAAAAATTTAATGATGTGAACATTTATAATTTGCTAGAAATCTTAGGTCATGTTTGAGTGGTCAGATGTTTCTATCTAGATTGAGACAGCCCCATTGGATCTCAAAATCAAAAATGAAATCGCTGAAGAATACTCTACATCGAAAAACAAGAGAGAGCCTAGATTTTGCTCTCGGCCACCCTTTGGGCGGCTCTCACGCTTCTCCAAACCTTCCTCGTGTATCCAGCGTAGACCATCTCGTGAATTACCTAGTTGCTCAACTTGAATATTCTTACTTATTTTGTCAGAAGACATATTACATAAATCATATAAATTACTTTGCCGTAGATGTCTAATTTCTAGCTACTTGTTTTGCTTGTAAATCTCTTAAGTAAAGAAAACTAAAAGTGGTAAAACGTCGATCCATTAGATGTCGTGGCCGACAAGGGATTTGTCTGACTGCCCTAGTTAATACTACGACTAAAGATTCTGTTACATGCATGATAAAATTTTAAAGCAGCAGACGCTAATTTGTTGACCAGATTAGAGAAATCATGCATACCACCGAGAAGCTAAGTAAATAATTCAAATCATCGATGAAAGGTGATATTGAATTCAGTTCAATTTTTTTTTTGGCGACAACGTGAATAAATTTAGTGCTCACATGCTGGGACTTAACAAGACTTAAAAAAAGCACATAAACAAACAAAGCGTTTGATTGGCGCGAACAGTTTTCCGAGAGCGAAGCTCGAGGAAAAGTGTGCGATTTGAGGAACAGATAATGTCCAAGGACAAATATAGAAGCAGATTTTCGTGACAAATTATGGCGATTGTGTTTATTGTCCTTCAAATATTTGCAACGTGCATGAAAAAAACATTTACGAAGAGCCTTCTGTTTGTTGCGTGGGTGTCCTCTTTTGAGGTTTTTTTTTTATATGACTTTATGAACAAACAAATATTTTACTCCTGCCGTAACAACCATAAAACGCTTTCTAAATTTAAAACGAAAACTTATTAGTTGAAGAGGACGTTATGCTTGAAAATTGGGAATATCACCTGGGTGATACTTTTGGATATCACCCAGTTTGAGCTGGGGTTGTTAGTTACGTGACACGTTGAGACCTGATTGTGCGCCAGTAAAAATATTTGATGAATCATCATTTTCTTATCTATTCTTGATGAGAATGAATCATGGCGGCATAATACCTGTTATCAAGTTGAGAAGGGTTTTCTGGAATTTATGCCGTTTACGCCTGGACACGTAAACCACTTAAATAAAACTGAGAGTAATCGTTATCATAAATTGTTATCCATGTTTCTCTCCCGAGATCGAAGTAAGTGGTATTTTTGAGCGAGATTCTATACATTTAGTGGTCGATTGTGGCATGAAATGTTGCTTTATATTATTTTACATAATACCCTGATTCTGTTGACATTGTAAACCCCACCATTCTCCGTGGGTGACTGCTCAATACAGGTTTGACTGTACATTTTTTGTTTTCCAGGACACAAAATATTAAAATCATGAAGGGATACTACTTAACTGAGAATATTCCAAATTTCGAAAACAAAACAGTGCATATCAGATGAAGGGGTTTTTACCGAATTCTATTTTTGGTTAACACGACACAAAAACAAACAGGCTTCCGAATCTTCAAGAAATTTAATCGATGTGTGAGCACTTTTGAGTCTTATACCTTAAGTCTTTCTCGAAACGGACCCATTGAGCGTTCTTTAAAAAAGTTAATAAAACGAGAAGACAAATTCTAGCCTTTTTCGCCCAATGTTCGCTGTATTTGTCGCAATATTTAAGCTGGGTCGAAAACGAAATGACGGTGAAGGGGACTTCCCGAATCGATTCTAGTACGTCATTTAAGCTCGTTTTACTTTCATCTGTCATTTAGGTTGAATGCGCCACAACTAAGAGATTAAAGGCAATACGAAAGTGTTCCAACAAAGACGCAGATTCTCAACAGAAATGGGGAAGAAGAAGCAACGGAATTCCCGACCCCAGGTAAGACTAAAACCCTTCTTTCTTGAGTTCAGTAATAAACGTATTGAGTGAGTTTATCTTCCTCTCTCAGCGAGCATCGGTTAGTTATATCCTTGAATACACAATAAGCCTCACCCAAAAGAGATCTTTTATAATATTCATCGTCTGAAACAAAAGCCTTATGTATGTGCTTGAATCGAAACCTGGCCCGCGCTGTAGGTAATAAATACAACATCCATTGCTTGCTTCTTTGAACATTTGCCGTGAAAATTTGTATCTGTTATCGCCCTTCATTGAGCCCTTTACGTCAAAGCTTTATTTAGTCCAAACTCTCATAACCGTAGATCAGGTGATATTCCAATGAACAATAATAGTCCAGCCTCAGCCTGTTCCATTGAGTACAAAGGGCGCGATGCCGCGTTTATGAAACGCTTTAATTTACATTTCACGCTTAAGCCTTTTAGCCGAGATTTTGAAATAAAAATGATTTATTTTTCCGAGAACCATATCCCTCCTTAGAAAATCGGAAGTATGTACTGTTTGATTCAGATAATTTTTTTTTCGAGCGCACAGAATCATAAGCTTTTCCGTCTGCTTAACAATGTAAATCATAACTTTTTCTTTCGATGTATGCTGTTCCAAAGATCAGTTTAATAAATATGAAATATTGTTATTTGATATACCTTGGAAGCAGCAACGCCATTTTACCGAGTTGGCAGATCAGGGTCAAATCATAGTACAGAAAATCATCCTATTTATATTCTTGTCGGTAGAATCTAGAATAAATTTAGTTTCTGATATAGGGTGAATCCATTCTTAACATTTGAAGCAAGAGCTATCCCAATATCCTGCCATTTTACATTTGAAAACCCATCGAAAACGCTGATTTTCACTCGAAGTGTGTGGCAATCCGTGTTGATTTTATTAAAAAGGTATTTGATTGAGAAAAAAGCATTCTAAGTAACAGAATGTTTTTTGTTCGTTTGTTTGTTTGTTTGTTTTTTTTTCTATTTCTTACATATTACGAGGATTGTTTCATCCGCCAGAAAACCTTCAGGGTTTTATTTACAGTACGTGAATATGACACTCTTTGTTTTCGTATTTTAGTCCATCAGCGCTCGACAATGTTTCGCTTCGAGACGCTTTTCATATCCGGCCATTTGTTAATAGATTAAATTTTCGCTATGTAGCTAGAGTGTGTTGCCAGTTTCGGCTTGGAATATCAACATTTATCTTTTAAAACCAATAGTCACAATATCTCAATACTGCATAAAAAGAGAGGGAGATTTACTCCTAGAATAAATTGCGTTAGCTGTTCGTTTGGAAAATTGCGCTTTCTCCATGAAAATGTTGGTATTATGGCGAGAGACTTTCGGAAAATGGTTTCAGAAGGGTTCAGAAACTCTAAAGTCATGTAGCGGAAGTTAGTGGAATACTGCACAATAACGGCCTTTGTAAACTTCTGCGTTGTGCGCTTTAGAGTGGATGTTGGTTTAAAATAGAAAGTATTCTTAATTTTGCAAAAACTTGTGGTTTGAATTTTGATGACGTCATTTCTTTGATCAATTAGGTTATAGACAAAGGAAAATTGCGGTCAATTTGTCAAGTAGAAGGAACCCACCACACTGACTCGAGGGTCCAAAATACACTTTCCCAATTCCGCATCCTGCCGCTTTTCATTCCATCCCGCCGCAATGAACATTTCATCTCGATCACGCCTGATTAAACCCAAGTTTCTATAGTTCCCCGCCTGACCTAAACTGATGGACAAATTGTAGCCTCAACAATTTTGATAATGTACTCCCGATCTCCTGTTTGTGGAGAACAGCAAGGACTTGCTTAAAGCATATTTAGCCAGCTCGAAAAAACGGTAGTTCTTTGCCGAGTGTGTTTTAGTCTTTATGGGTGATACACAAAAACTCGGACAGACCAACAGAAAAGCGATCAAATTCTTCTGCCGATCGGAAAACAGTAAAAGTCATATCTCAAAGATACAACAAACTTCATAAAGTTCACAGAAAAACAAAACAAACCTTTCTCATTTCAATACACGTTCCGAGCTCATCATGACAAATATATTACGAGCTGAGAAAATGAACATAGTATGCACTGCGTACGAGAATTTTTCACCGGAATAACATTCCAATGAAAAACATTCCAATTCATACACAACGTGTCACCCACCGGAAGCAAAGAAACGCTTTGCTAAAGGCGAGGCGTTACGACTCCTCAGGACTTATTCTTTAAAGCAAAAATTTGTTCAAAATACATTTAGAAGAGGTTGTTTTGAACAAAGAAGTAACCCGAAAAACTTAATTAACAACACACCATAAGAAGTGAAATTTGAAGGACGTAAACGCGCCCTCCTCCAGCAGGGAAAAACAAACAACAACCATTGCTATGTGGAGTCTTCAAAAAGAATCGATAATATCATACAGAAATGGGCGTTTATTCAAAGAAATAATCTTGACAGCACGTGTATTCTTTACCAACTGAACATAGGATTATCCTCACAACTTTTTTATCGCTCGGTTCTCTCTAGCACATGGTTTTTTTCTTACGTCATCTGACATCTACCTGGATGTCCAGTCCTTTCCGCGCTAACGCCCGACACTTAACATAAATTCCTCTAGGAAAAAACGCGATTTCACTACTTAACGCCATCAATATCGTCTCCCATCTCTCTTATTTCCATCTTTCATCATCGGTTTACTCAAATATCGTTCTCTTCATGCATTAGATTATAGACGCCTCATCTTTAACGAAGAAACTTCGAAGTTTCTCCGAAGATTATGTGAAGATTTCTGAAGAAACCAGTACTCGTGCAAGGACGTTGGTCAAAGACTGCATTGAAGGCCAGATCATATCGTACTGCCGAGACAATTCCATGATTGAGATACTAAAACTGGAGTATACCGGCAGCTTTTACGAGGGTTTAAAGACTGAAGCTGCTGATGAGGCCGACATCATGGTAATACTGAAAACACCAAGTACAGGGATCGAAGTCATCCAATCCAAATTTCCCGGGTACGTCCGTCTCAGAGCAAGAAATGCCCAAATGTTCGAGAAGTATTTAAGTAAAGAAGGCTACATTAATGCCAAGAAGCTTCGAAATAGCTGGTTCCACAGTCTTGTTCACCAAGCAAAGAATAAGGTTAAACCAAAACCGCCATACTCTGAGGTTCGTCTGAAGGTGCGTAGTCACGGACCAGCTGTCCAGGTGGACATTTTCAGGAAAGAATCTGATGAGAAGCTTTTATCAGTTGATCTCGTCCCTAGCTTCGAAGTCGAGGGTAGCTGGTATGTGCCCAAGCCTTTTAAAGGGAAGCGATATGTGTCTAATGATGTGTTTCTTTGGAGGAAGACATTTTCACCAAAGGAGAAACAACTCCTAGAGTCCATGGACAGGGAAGACCGAGGCTGTAGGCACGAGCTCCTTCGAATCGTGAAGACCGTAGTCAAGAGGCCAGTGACATCTTTACCACTGGATTCATACCACTTGAAGACCGCCTTTATGCACTATATCGAAAGGAAAGGCCTGGATTGGAGTAAAGACGCGTTGGGGAAAAATTTCTTTGGATTTCTTACAGAATTACAGATTTATATGGAGAGCAGAAATCTTCCTCATCGTTGGTTGGGTGATGTTAACGTTCTGGATGATTTCAAGGGAGGGGTTGTCCAGCAGATGGCGAATCGTTTAAGAAGGATCCTAAACAGCGAAGTAAGGCTGAACAAGATACTCGAATAGCCTTCATGACTCTGCCATGTCTGTCTCTCTCGTACAATCAAAGCTATCTATCACTTTATCGAACTTTCGATTATCGATTTTGGAAATGGCAAAATTTAAACGCCAGGACATATCCCTTGGAGGACATCAAATTTTAATTTTATTCACCATATTATTTTGTTCCCTATCACCTTGTAAGGTGGTTTACCGCTCCAACCTATATTCATTTTGTGTTTGGTTACCTGGCATCTGAACACAACGAAATGAATATAGGGAAATGTCTTACCGTTATTAAAAAATCATTGATAGCAAAGCAGAATTGAATAGTTTTTCTTTCTAGAGGCCAAACGACAGGTAGCTAACAATTATTCTTCAATCTTTGTTCTCATTTTTTTTTCCTGGTACAAATTCCACATTCATTGGCACGCTTAAGGTGAGAAAAAAAAAGATTGGTTATTTGATGGTAGACAGTTGTCCCCTAGCGTTAAAAAAACAAATGGAAAATAAACAGACAAAAAAGTGACTTCGTAGTTTAACTTGTGCTGTCGTGCAAGTGGAATTCATTTCCGCAAGTGGACCAGCAACTGTCCTATATCTAGAGGTATTATTTAGTGTTTGTTGAAATCTGACATCTTACACGCTTAATTATTCTTGGAGACAATTCTTCAATCATATCTTCTAAATGAAAGCAATTGTATTGTGACTCCCGCATGGCTCATCAAATGTTATTATAATTTTTTTGATCCGTTCTTTTCTTTTGCTATTTTGTTTCTATTCATTCGTCCATATTTGATAAGGCTAAATTAATGCGGTAGCTTTCCAGGTCATTTGCGGGTTTTTTACGATGCAATTCAAGATTTAAAACGCGCTATTGGAAATTTTTCCCTGTGTGGCATATCGTTTGCCTTTAATCCGTCCAACGAGGCGAAAAAGCATCTGGATAAATTTTTTTCGAGTGCTCTTGTTAGGTAAATTTCAAGAACATTACATTAGCGTGCAAGTACTGGTTTTCCAAATGATTTTTCCTTTAAATAACTTTTAAAGAAATATTCCTCGTAATTAGATCAAAATCTTGTTTCGCCTAGTTCATATCTACACAATGCTGTTGTTTTGAAGACGTTCAGTAATGTTCAACCTAGCTTGCTAATGATCATATTTTTTAAAAAAAGCATTGTAAAGTTTATGGTGTAAATGTGTTCTGCTTTTGTTTTTCTTTCTTCCTTGTTGGCTTTTTTTTCCCGCTTTTAACGCTATGTAGGACAAAAGGGTAAGAATTAGGGTAATTAGCGTCCACTAGTAATGTAAAGTGCATTAAAAAGTGTACGTTTTAAGTAACGTTAAGTAATTAGTAATTTCATAAGTAACGTAACTTAACTAGCTGTATCGCTAGTAACGCAACGTAATTAGTAATATTGTAATTAAAAAATAGTAGTATTGTAGGTAAGGTAACGTTATTAGTAGTACTGCTGTACTTATAGTATCGTAGATTGTATTAGTATTGTATTGTCCGCTTTATAGATCCTGTTTCTGCAGTTGGAATGAAGCTAAGTAATAATAATAAAAGGGATCATATGATGTACGCTTTGTGACTGAAACACGTGACGTAAAAGTTGTCGGGTTTCTATGCATAGAACACTCGACACGAAAGCAAAACGGCTTCCGAACATTCAAATACTTTTCACGCAGATACCTAAACATATGCTTCGTAACAGACCCATCAAGCGTTCTTTTGAAAAAGTTTATGCAGCGAGAAAGCAGATTCTACCCCCATTTTTCGTTTAAATCTAAGAAAAATCCGTTGCAAGATTTTGTTCTGGATAGGAAAGTAAAACTGCGACGCAAGGGATTCTCCGGCTTGCCTTCCATTTCTTCATGCCTTTCCATTCATGTCTGTTTCACTTTTATTCGTAGCCTATAAGTTGCGTAGAATGGGCAGCAGTTTTGTTTTCCACAATAAATCGCAGATGCTTAGAAGCACTTTTTGAGAGGAAGTAGATTTCCATGTTAATAAAAGTACCTTGCTGCCGCGACACATCATACTTTTGTAATTACTTCCAATAAAACAAAATTGTGTTCTGACAATCACTTATCTTTCTGAGAAAACCGGAAGTACTGTTTGATTTGCATACTTCCTATTTACTAGGCTGACACGCAGGGCCTATTGAATTGCAAGCTCTCCCCTTTACTCATATTTTGCGATGTACGCCGCAACAAAAGATCAGGTAAGCTATGGATCATTGCACTCTGATATACCCTTTCAAGGAGAGACCCCAATTCAGTGGTGCCTTTGTTGAGTTGAGTTAGCTAAACAGGGCTATAGTGTCTTATAGTTTTAGAAACGCCATGATTACTGCGAAGCAGACTTATTATTGTGGTCAAAAGGATCAGCACGTCACCCTACGTTACTTATTATTCGAACCAGTCAATTTCTTATACAAGGTCAAGTCACTCATACTAGTCGACATATACTGCCGTTTCAAAAGTTTTGAATAGCGCATCGAAATAACTGTCCTTCGACAGAAAGGAAAGGGTAGCCATTGTTTATTATCACCTTTGGTTCGAATTTCTGAATCCTCGTATTATGTGGGAATTCGATTTTAATAGAAAAGAAAAAAATGTTATTCACATATAAAAAAAAAGCGTTAGAAGTCGCAAGTATCGCTCGTGCTAGTAGTTTTTCGATGGGCATTCGCGAGCAAACTGACTCCGATTGTATTCGTGATAATAAATGGAAGCCCGAAGCCGTTTTGATCGCATTTTTCGATCATCAACAATGGACATCCTATATCGTTTGTACTGTCGCTTTCTATTATGCAAATTTCGGTTCGATTGTGCTGACAGTTCAACCACGGATTCCGAAACCAGTGTTCAAAATATATTTTAATACGCTTACAGTGTAGAATTAAGAACGAGAGAGCGAGATTAAAATCTTTCCGCTTACAGCGTAGAATTAAGAACGAGAAAGCGAGATTAAAATCTTTCCGCATTTAATTTAATTTCTGTGAAAAACTGCATTTTTTATCAAAAATGGTTCTATTCTGTGAAGATACTTTCAGAAACGGTTTTGAAAAGCTCCGTTTCCTAGAGCAAAATTATGCATGTCTAGAGAACAGCCAGTTCGTAGAAACGGTGATGTAGGAGGCGATGTCACGAACTCTTTCCCCAATGGCATTTCAGTAGTAGCTCAGCAAAACTAGTAAGTCCTACTTACAATTTGTCACAGTCCATTATACTGACGTCTGTATCTCTGCTGATAATTCAAAACTCAGACGTTTCGAACCAGTTCAGCCCGATATACCATTTCCTTATTACCACGAGTACTGTAAAATCCCAAACCAATTATATAGCAACATAAACAGTTAAACGAGTCATAGGCTTGCAGTTATTCCGAGTGAAATTGGCGGACAGTGCTTGGAGGATGGCAAAGGGTTATTGCGTGACGCGCGATGGCTCCAAAATGTGCTGGGTGACGCGTGACTTTAGCCAAGATATCCGCGTGATGCGGGACCGGACATCACAACATGATGCATGATTTGCTATTTTTACAAGTGCGTGACGCGTGATTTACAAGACTTACTAATCAGATTTCCGTGACAAGTGAGCGCTCTTTGACCTAGAAGGATACCAGACATTTAAAGTAAATAGAGTCTTAACAAAATTCAATAAACCAGGGTAGCTGTGGCAGTGTTCTTGTCTTTTCCTTCCTTTGCTAAGCTTTGCTTGACCTCGGATGTCTTAGATCTTCGTGGTAGGTCCAAACAATCGTGACACAATAGGTATAAGTTAATAAAGTTAATATTTGCACAAGGACTATGACCTTCTGTGTTAGTTTTGTCGACCTCTTGGTCATGGTGGTGCGTGGGATCCAGTCCGATACGAAACCCGAGTAAACGCTCTGGGAGCTTCTAGTTTCAACAGGTAAATCGTCTTTATTTGTCTTAAAAAAAGCAATATGCCATGTGAAACGCAATTCATTCCAGAAGGAAAACGTTGGGTGCAATATATAATTTCTAATAATACATCCGATAGGTTGACATCTTACAGCATCAGCTGTGCGTACCTACTCCTTTTTTACGTGACGCGTGATTGGTTAACAAATTTCTCCGTGGTGCGTGATTTTATAGAAAAATTCTGCGTGATGTGTGATTGGAACCTCCCCCCCCCTCTGCCACCCTCTGTTTACACCGTTGGGAAATGTGTTACGCCTTCTCATATGATTATCAGCAGCATTTCTGCGCACTTCCGGCCCCAAATCTTTAAGCACTTTTTTTGTTTTTTAACCCTGAATTTGAAACAACTGATCTTCTAGTATTGCGTCTACTTTTCACCCGTTCGTCTCGTTTACAAGTCCCAATTTAGCCGCTCCTTCCATTGATCCATTTTAAGGAGGACTGGCAAGGCGATTTAGGACACATGATAATTTAAAGTGGTTTGTCAGTTTATACATTACATTAGAGTCTTTAGAAAAGGTGATCTAAACTGCAATTGAATAGCGCCTCTGATTGGTCAGTTATTTTTACCTTGTCACGTTGTCTCAAAATACCTTCTGCGTTTTCTCCGATGAATTTGAGGAGCTGGTTAAAACAGTTCTATACGTTTTAATCGGCCATGGAATCAGATGAATCCATTTATTTTGTAGATTCCGCGGTAGTAAACGCTTATGGATCGGTTGTTGCTAAAGAGGAACACAAAAATCCTTGCGAGCATTTCGAAGAAGGTGAAAATGTTGATCCACCACGTTTTCATCCATTTATCGTTTTTTTAATTGAAGTTTGCCTGCCCGTGGAGAGGAGCTTGCGCTCGAAAGAGTGGTCGAGGTTGTTGTCCATGCAAAGCAGTAAATAAGAATTGTAAGGCAAACTGTCAGTGTCGCTGACGTTCCTGCAATGAAGTAACTAAACTTAAAATAATTAAACGTCCGACAGTCCGATATTTTTCCATATTTCTCTTCGAAATCCAAAAAATATTTATACGAAGATGTTCTACCTTTATTTACAATCCTCAACCCTGTATACAAAGTACGAGTTTAGTTATTAATCAAAAGTTGACTATATGTCCAGGATGGCTCTTGAGAAAGACGATTTTAGAAGGTTTTCAGTGATCTGGGAATTTCGTGTTACAGGAAATTGGGTCGCAGCGCACGTTGCATCAAGGTTGGAAATGGGCCTTTAAATTAGAGTAGAGTAGATAAGGAAGGAAGACAGGACTGGAAGAAGAAGAGAAAAGTGTCAATAATGATTACTGCTGACTCAGCTGGTGTTAATGACAAGCACTTAATGCTAATTTTTAAAATAATTAATAACGTTTTCATCATTGATGCATCAGATAATGGCAGAGGCCGAGGCGAGGGAAGAAGACGCTCTTACTTTAACGAAGAAACTTCGTGATTTCTCCGTAAAGTACGTCAAGATTTCTGAGGAAGACATGACTCTCGTCAGAAAGTTTGTCAAAGAATATATTGAAGACAAGATCATAATGTATTGTCGGGAGAATTCTAAGATTCAGATACTAAAACTGGAGTACACTGGCAGTTTTTACGAGAGGCTGAAGACTGAAGCCGCTGATGAAGTAGATATCATGGTAGTATTTAGAACGCAAACAGCAGAAATCACGGCAATAGAATCCGATGTGCCCGGGTATGTCCTTCTCATGGCAAAAGAAAGCTCAGTGGTACGTAAATATGCGTGGGATAATGGATTTATTAGCCCCAAACGCATCTGAGATCTTTGGTTCGGTCTCGTTCAGCGAGCAGTGAATTATATTCACGCTAAACCACCATATTCTGAAGTTCCTGTGGTTTTGCGTAACCACGGACCAGCTGTGCTGTTAGACATTAAAAAAAGTTTTATCAGTTGATCTCGTCCCTTGCTTCCAAGTGGAAGGTAAATATTATGTGCCCAAGCCTCTGAAAGGGAAACGATTTGTGTCGGAACCAAAGCTTCTTTTTTGGAGGCAGTCGTTTTCGGTAGAGGAGAAGCAAGTTTTACAGTTGATGGACAGGGGAGACCATGGCTGCAGGCACGAGCTTCTCCGAATCGTGAAGACCGTGGTGAAAAGACCGGAGACATCTTTACCAATGGATTCCTTTTACTTGAAAAACGCCTTTATGCACTACATTTACGGAGGAGGCAAAGATTGGGTGAGCGGAGACGCGTTAGGAAAGCATTTCCTTAACTTCCTAGAGACATTACGGATTCATATGGAAAGGAGAAGTCTTCCTCACTATTTCCTACCTGATGCAAACCTTCTGGATGATTTTAAGGAAGAAGTTGTCAAGCAGATGGAAAATCGTTTGAGAAGGATTCTGGAAAGCGAAATAAGGCTAAACAAAATTCTTGAATAGCTTCGGCCATTCCGTCTTTTTCGCGCTGTCAGCGATATGTACCATTTTACCGAACTCGAGCTGCACATTTTTTTGGTAAAGGGCTAGTTGTAAACCCCCCCAAAAAAAAAAAAAAACATTTTTGGCAGAGATTTGATTTGTGGCTGACTTACCAAATCATTTTTATCTTTAAGTAGATGTCTTATAACACATACAGGTTTAACACTCCAATCTATAGTCATGTGGACGCTGAAAGTTCAAATATGGTTGACAAAACATACAAAGAAGGAGGGTAAGTTTCCAAAGTAACGGTGGTTGTTTCGTCGGTGGGAGAGTGTAACATAGTAATTTGGTCAACTGAGTTGGTAAATTGGCCAATTTACGTTATCAGCTCAGTTGATAATACTAAATTATATGTTGACGAACAAACATGGTGACCAGAAACATTTGTTAACGTTGTGAAATCTTCCTTAGTAGAAAACCATGATTTCATAATGGTTATTATCGAAATGTCCCGCAGACATACGAGACTCTCTGATTTCTGGTACAGAAATTTCATCGAGTTTGAATCCCTCAGTTTATTTCTAAGTCAGAGTCAAAAAATATACACAACCCAGGTGATGTGAACACAATATTGGAAGTGTATAGTATGTTTTATTTGTCTATCTATTCATTAACCTGAGAAATGGAACTCAACCAAATATGAGTGGGATAAACGAGAAGCTGCTAATTGTTTCAAATGCTACGGTATCAAAACGATGAAAGGTCAAAGTATTGCACATTAGAGAAATCTTCCGCATATTATCGCTTGCGATATAATTTTGGCGTGAAACAAGGCAGAAATTAATTTACCCGTAGAGAGCAATCTGGAATTAGGTGTGGAAAATCATGATCAGTCAGAGCTGTTTTACTTTTACTTGTATGACATGTCATCTTCTACCAAACAGATCCACAACTAAAAACCGTCACAACAAAGTCCTTCAGAAATCGGGCGACTAAGATTGCGGTTATATCACATTTGATTACGAAAGAAACAAACAAAAAAAAACAAACAAAAAACAAACATCAAATTCTTTTACAAATAACACTTTCCACCACCTATCCTGATACGGTAACTTAGAATGTCCAAGCCGAATCATGATTTGCTGCAACAGAAAAGATGCTCGCAAATTTACTTAGACATATGAATCAGTTCAAGCTTTTTTTTCCTTAATTTTTTTTCTTTATTGCTTTCTCTATTTTTTTTTTATTCTTCTTATTGAAGCTTTAGCCGTGAGTTAGCTTTCCAGGTCATTCATAAGTTTGGTAATTAAAGCTGAAAATCGTGGCGTTAGGGATTTTCCCTTATGCGAATTTATTCTATCATTAGTACTTCGATAAAAAGCAAAAAACAGAAAGAAGTACAGAATAATATGAGGTATTTTTTCATGAGGGCTCGATTTAAGATTTTAAATATCCTGGTTTTTTTTCTGAAACTCCTGCCGAATTTATTATTTTCTAATCTAGAAGATGATAGTTTCATTATGGCATAATACTTGTTTTGCATCGTGAGGGGTTTTTCCCTAACTCATGTTGGTTACGCTTGGACAGACCCAAAAAAAAAAACAACACAAAACAAAAGATTGATAGAGATGTTTTGTGTCTTGTCACGAGCGTTGCACAAGGAAAAAATTCTGAGTGCCCGTGAGACTCTACGTTGAGCGAGGTCTATTACGAAATTCATATGACACGCGTCCTGCATACTGCTAGGATCAGTAATATCGATAGCGTCATGTTTAACAAATAGAGAATCCTTGACTGTGCTCTGTTCTGTTATAAAGCACGCAGGAAGCGGCTAGAGCGCGAAAGAAGTGTAGGGAGAAACACGACACGTAGTCGAGTGTTTCTCCCCACTTCTTAAGTGCTCTAGCCGCTTCCTAAGTGCTTTATAACAGAACAGAGCACAGTCAAGGCTTCTCTATTTGTTTTATAATAAAGAATCCATTAAATTCCCCGAGCATTACTTTCAATTTTCAAAACAAACTTTATTTCCAAAGCGAAGAACAGTGTCGTCAGCATGCTCTATACTCTCATAAAGCACGCTACAATAAGCCAATCAGAATCCTTGTTAGAATGGTTCAAATAATCTGATTGGCTGTACAAGACTAAAGCTGTCAAAAGTGTCAAATCATCAAAGTTCAAAAACCATCAAAGTCCACATTCTACGATAGTTCACAAACTAAAATAGTTCGGCAAGTCGAATATAACAGTTTTGCCTGAAGTTTTTAAGTCTCTAATACAGAATCTTGAACAGTCCGGGCCATATCCATTTCTGGATACTTGATGACGTCACAAACATGGATGTCGTAGTGGGACATCGAGGAAACTCACTCATCACTTTATTCGAGCCCTAGCGACTTAGTTCCCGACCCATATCCCATGAAATCTTGCAAAATTACAGAAGACAAGCAATTACACACAACAAGCAAAGAACTAATGGTGGTCGCGATGACGAGAAAGAAAAATTCAGATGAAAAGTCGGGTGGAGGTCCATGTTGCGAAGGGCTCGATCGAGGAATAACCTCTATTTAGTTGAGGTTTTCAGGTATGCAACATTTTTTTTGATTCCTAAAAAAAATCTTTTAAAAAACTAGAATAAATTTGCTTCCAATTTGTCAAAATTCCAATCGAGTGCACGAGGTTTTTGCTCGAGTGCACGAATGTTGAAATTCTGTTAGTGTGCAAACTACCAGACGGATTCCTTTGTTCAGATCCATCGGAGTATCGTATAAACCATAAATTTTAACCATACGTTGTGGCCGGCCAATTTAAAGTAAAAGGACAATTATTTATCGGACCTTTATAAGCCTACATTGTGAATTTCAGATCAAGCCAACAGCATGGATGAACACATTCAGTATCTCGAGACACTTTGTCGTCTTTGTGGCACAAATCTGCCACGGACCTGGGTCAGTGCTACAAACAAAGAATCTTTTAAATCGGAGCTCTGGATGAAATTTCGAATCAATGTCGATCTTGACATCAGAGAGATTCATTCAGCCAAGGCGAATGCACACTAAAAAATAATTTCAGGAAACCACGGATCTAACACATAAATGTGATTATCCATCGAGTAAGTTCTCCTTTGGGCAAACATAAAACAAAGAGGTATTCGTTCACTGAGCTCTCACATCTTCAGGTATCGTATCCGGGAAATGTGCGATAAGAGCGGCATGAAGATGAAAATAAAGAAATCACATTGGTGGAAAGCCTTGCAGAAGTGTCTCTATTACAGCATTCCGGAAACAAAGGTTGGAGTTTAACTACACGAACTGATGAGAGTGAAATTTTCGTCTAAAACCACAAGGGACTTGTCTGTAATTGTGAAACTCGTTTAGAAACACCGCTCGTGCTTTCACACTTTGCAGTGATTACCTAAACAAACTTTCTATACAGGGTGTTCAAATCAAAGGGTAATTGTAAAGGACATATTATTGCTGACTAAAAGCTGTAGGACCGAATTTGTAGTGTTCTGAGACCTAGATTCTCCCGCGAATCGATCAATAGCGCGCAAAATACCTTGAATGATTCTCTTGCATTGAATTCGATCATGTGTATTCGTCTTAATATAGATTGTGACTAATTGATTTTATTTTATCCCACTCATGTGTTTATTGGCGTTTATTTTCCAGGTATCATAATTTCAAGATCAAAGCTCTACGTGGAACACCGCTTGTTATTCAAAGTGAAGACGACAACACGTATGACTCGCATGCACTGGCTTGTCTTCTTCCACGAGAAATGGAACGCATTCCAGAGGCTCTACGAGAAGTCCAGATTTTCAGCAAATCGCAGAGAAAGACATACACTTTAGGAGATGTCAAAGGGCAGCAGATCGGCACGGTTCAGCACTTTCTAAACATACAGCTGCATGCTTTGCTTCGATGTGGCAAAATAACCAGGAATTGAAGGGTCAGTTTCTGTTTTCTTGCTTTACTGTTACTTTTTCGTAAAGGCTTGATGGACTGAAATTGATAATGTCTATTTAAAAATCGGAGAGAAACAAGATATTGTCTTTCCTCGACCTATACTGGAGAGAAATGAAATTGTCCCGATTCCGCGATCTCACACCTCACTCGTCCCAATTGTTATCAGTGCGATAATTGGTTCAACCTTATTTAATTGGTTTTCTTGTAACCCAAAATAGGGAAATCAACGGAGAACGGACACTAACATCGAGGCCAAGCTCTTCCCAGAAGTTCTCCAGATACAAACAGGCTGGCGGAGGAGCTTTTATTCCTGTGACGCTCTTGGTGGATAGACCACAGCGTTACAAAGAATTTGTGCTAGAAAGAATCCGCTTTACTCTTCCAGAATGCGAGAATGTCGAGGACATGCATGTTGAATGTTTGAAATAAACGAATATTTTTAATGGTATCTTACGTCCAGTCCTTATTAGCGAATTTTGTTTCAGCTTACTACCGCATTACAACATGGCCGCCACAAAAAAAAAAAAAAAAAAATGAGCTTCTTCTTGTTTCCAGCACCTCTCGGCCAAATTTGCTTTGTTTTGGTTTTGATCTCACCCAATCACAAAGCTCGAAACCGATATCCAGAAATGGTTATGGCCCGAACTGTTGAAGTGGAATGTTCAGTAAACTTCAGCCGAATTATGGCTCATAAAAACACGCGAGTTTTTTCACATGACAAGGTATAAAACAAACTGTGCAAGGCGAGTGTTTTTGAATGAACGACAACCGAATTCACCGAAACACGAAGATCGCTCGGGATACGGCATAACTAGGCTGCAGTGACTTTCCACTCAACGCATCGGAAGGGATATCAGAGCAAGCTCTTATTTTTTCACTCGAAGGGCGGCCGATATAATTTCTGAGACTTGCTTTACTTTGATGACCGGAGATCGTCATGATGAGCGAGCCGCGATGGACTTCAGCATGATCATATTCGCTCAGACACCGTCATGATTAGAATGAATTTTAACAGTTATGCCAGTTTGGTTATATTTTTCATCATTTCTGTTTTATTCTGTTTTGTTTTTGAACACTGAACTTTAAATACTATATGAGTGTTAGCTGTGTTTGATTTTTATTTCCGTGCATAAGCTTGCAATCTAACTGAGCGTTAATTAATCTTTAAAACTCGGAATGTCTATTTTGTTTTTCCTTTGAGGATTTTCGCATCTGCTCACGTTTTAATAACGTAAATTACGGCGCCTGGTATGGTTACAAACTTTTATTTGGTTCTTCTGCTACTTGCCGGCTCGCTTGTTCCGAAACTTCACTTTCAATTATCGGAAAAAAGCTAAAAAGAAGTCCCGGAAAAGGTCGAACATAGTACAATTTGGCAGATGGCGTGACAGCTTTAGCTCAGTTCTATGCTCTATACTCTCATAGAGCACGCTCTTTCAACCAATGACAGCGCGCGTTATATCCGAACTTTATTATAATTGTAAATAGAATAAGAGATGGTAATTTTTGTCCCAAGCTCGTGACCAGACGAAAAACACCTTTCTCTATTTGTTTACCGAGCAAAAAAAATAAGATCTCTCATTCTATTCCAAAACAAAAGATGTTCCTGCCCGCATGCAAATCTGTTGGGTTACTGTAATTGGCAACTATTTTGAAAGCAACTACCTGAAAGCCAGGATTTTTTATGTGATAATTTCCTTCCATTAACTGGCCTCGTGGAGCTATAACTTAGACAATTTTACGTGAAAAAAAAATTCTGCCTTTTTCCGAACACTCTTTGCCAAAATGTATTTTTTAAATAAAATTTGTTAAACAATCGAACCACAAATCATAATTATTTATAAGTCTGTATTTAAAGTCCTTTGAAAATTGACTTTTTCAGTCATAAAAAGAAAAGGAATGTACTGTGACTGTTTATATTTTTTCTCTATGATACATATTTCGAAAATAATGAATAGATAAAGACTGGAAAATTTGAGAGCAAAACAGTGCATAACAGATGGAGGGGTTTTTACCGATTTCTATTTATGGTGCTCAGAACACCAAAACAAAAGATCTTCCATCAGCAAATATTAGTGATTAGCAAGCATTATTGAGGAGTGTACCTCGGTATATTCTTTTAAAAGGAAGAATTTGGGTTTTTTTTAAAGTTTATATATCAAGAAGGCAGATTCTGCGTTTTTCGTTCAAATTTCCCCTAAATTTACTGCAATTTCTACTTCAAGCTAGATCGAAAACAAAAGTGCGGTGCAGGGGATTCCCCGACTCGATTCTGTCACGTCATGTTCTTATATATGTAAGTCCATCTCACCTCCAGTTTTCAGTTTGACCGAATGCACCACAGTTTAGACGTTAGAGGCTGTATTACACGGTTCCAGTATTGATTAGTTCGCTCAAGAAAGCTTCAACACCTATTACAAAGCAACAGACTCTTAATTAACAGGAGTGGTTAAGAAGCAAAATTTCAAAAGCAGGTAAAACTGAAAGCATTGTCTCTTATGTTCATTGATCAACATACTGAGAACGTTTCTTTAGTTCTCTTAGTTAGAAACGATATTTATCGTCTGAAATAAAAGCCTTGTGCTTGAATCGAAACCTCGAAAAACGCTGTGTATTGTAAATGCATTCACGGCTTAAGCTTGCTTCTTTAAATATTTTCCCGTAGGTGTTTATATCTGCTATCGCGATACATATATCATAGCTGGCTTCATCCGGGTCTGACAAACTCTCACGTCCATGCTTTTATTTATGATTAAAAAATCTACGTGGTCAGGGGAGATAGATTGAAATGAACAAAAATAGATCATCCCGTTCAAGTGAGTAGAAAGGTTGTGATGTTAGCAAGGAGCGAAAGAAACTGTGTTTAATTGTAAACTACTAAATTCACAAATCATCCATTAGTATCGGATACCAAGTTTTCTCCGTAATAAATTAAAAATTACTTTTTCCGAGAACCACCTGCATGTTTTTCTGAGAAAACCGGAAGTCTGTAGGCTTAATTTCTTACCAACCTGGCACGTGATGCTCGTACGCCCTTCCCGTCCTCTTGTATGTTATTAAGTTTTCCGATTGTAGGAGGTTTCAAAGATCACGCAAGTAATGCAATTGTAATTTCATATCCTCTTTTAAGCAGTAACGTCATTTAAGCTTATAGAGTCTTTTTCGAACCGTGTATTGGAAATGGTAAACGTCATGAAGGAGGCATAGATTAGTTTTGCCACCATTTACGTTTTCGGCTTTTATTAAGTGTGAATGATGGTTCAAAACGCAAATTTCAAATGAAAACGCAGTTACTTTGATCAGAGTCTCTATGAAAGTGCTGCTTCAAACCGGCTGAATGAAGTAAATAAAGAAAGAATGAAAGAATGAAATAAATGCTTACAAGATCGTTTTCTTTATTTATCAGAATATGGCATTAGCTAAGGCAAGAAGAGGAGACGCCACATCTTTAACGAAGGAACTTCGTGAATTTTCAGCAAAGTATGTGAAAATTTCTGAATTAAACAAGACTCGCACCAGAACGCTGGTCAACGATTACATTGAAAACCAGATCATAGAGTTCTGTCGACAGAAGTCCGAACTTCAGATTATGAATCTACAGTACACTGGAAGTTTTTACGAAAGGTTGAAAACTGAAGCTGCCGATGAAGTAGACATTATGGTAATACTGGGAACGCCAAGCTCAGAAATCGAGGTCATAGCATCCGAAGTGCCTGGGTATGTCCGTCTAAGGGCAAGAGGTGATCCGATTTTCTGCAAGTATTTGGGTCATGAAGGTTATCTTGACCCTAAGAGCTTTCGAGATCGTTGGTTCCAAAGCATCGTTCAGCGAGCAGTGAATAATATCAAACCTAAAGAACCGTTCTCTGACGTTCGTCTGGTTGTGCGTACCCACGGACCAGCTGTCCAAGTGGACATTCTTAGGAAAGGATCTAAAGAGAAGTTATTATCAGTTGATCTCGTCCCTTGCTTCCACGTCAATGATAGCTGGTATGTGCCCAAGCCATTTAAAGGGAAAAGATTTGTTTTCAATCACAAGGTGTTTTGGAGGCAGTCGTTTTCGTTGGAGGAGAAGCAAGTACTTGAGAACATGGACCAGCAAGACCATGGCTGTAGGCACGAGCTTCTTCGAATCGTGAAAACCGTGGTTAAGAGGCAGGTGACATCATTACCACTAGATTCCTACTACCTGAAGACCGCCTTTATGCACTACATAGAGAGACATAGCCAAGACTGGGTGAGCAGAGAAGCTTTAGGGAAACATTTCCTTGGATTTCTTGGAGAAGTGCAGTTATATCTGAGGAGCGGAAATCTTCCCCACTATAGTTTACCTGATGTAAACCTTCTAAATGATTTCAAGGAAGTAGTTGTAAAGCAAATGGCGAATCGTCTGAAAAGGATCCTGAATAGTGAAGCGAGGTTGCAAAAGATTCTTATATAGCTTATATGTGCGAATGAACAAAGACTGAAAATTTGACTAAACTACCTTGAAACAACAATAGTATATAAATCTTATACTTCTTACAGTATATGTGAAGTATACAGACATCTGTAATGACAAAAAGGTCATCCTTTCACGAGTGTAAGAATCTATACACGTACCTTCCACAGAACATATCAGTACCTTCCTACTTCATGCAGTATACATCATATATACGGACTGTTGTTTCCACACAATGTGCCCAGGCCTTTTAAAGGGAAAAGATTTGTTTTCACTCACAAGAGTTTCTGGAGCCAGTCGTTTTCGCTGGAGGAGAAGCAAGTACTCGAGAACATGGACCAGAAGGACCAGAAAGACCATGGCTGTAGGCACGAGCTTCTTCGAATCGTGAAAACCGTGATTAAGGGGCAGGTGACATCTTTACCACTAGATTCCTACAACTTGAAGACCGCCTTTATGCACTACATAGAGAAACATAGCCAAGACTGGGTGAGCAAAGAAGCTTTAGGGAAACATTTCCTTGGATACCTTGGAGAAGTGCTGTTATATCTGGAGAGCGGAAATCTTCCCCACTGTAATTTACCTGATGTAAACCTTCTGAATGATTTCAATAAAGTAGCTGTGAAGCAAATGGCGAATCGTCTGAAAAGGATCCAGAATAGTGAAGTGAGGTTGGAAGAGATTCTTGTGTGAATGAACAAAGACTGAAAATTTGAATAAACTACCTTGAAACAACAATAGTATATAAATCTTATACTTCTTGCAGTTTACGCGAAGTATACAGACATCTGTAATGACAAAAAGGTCATCCTTTCACAAGTGTAAGAATCTGTACACGTACCTTCCACAGAACATATCAGTACCCTTCCTACTTCTTGCAGTATACATCATATATACGAACTTGTTGTTTTCACACAACATCAGTGTACCTCATAACTCCTTCAGTATACAGTATGTATGTATTTATTGAATTTCTAGCCTTCTGATTTACTGAGTGGAGCCAGGTTATGAGCTTTTCACTTAGCTCTGAGCTCATAACCAAGCTCCGACAAATATGGTTGCTAAAATTGTCTGCGAAACCGCGAGAAAAATTTCTGTGCGCGAAAAATTTCTGTATACGACACTCCACATGACCTTAACGTGCCCTCAGTTGTGTTCTGTTCGACAAACGGCGGATGATGCCGATAAGCATCATCTGGTGATGACCTTCTCTTTTTAATTCGGTTTGTTGGTGTCCAAATTACAAATTACAAATGGAAATTCCGCTGCATCGCTCTTCCTTTCGAACAATCGACCAAACTTAGACCCTCTTCATAATTGCAAGATTACAGTTATATCCCATTTGATGAAAAAAATAAATATAAAGCGAAAAGCACAAACAAAACACAAAAAAGAGCCTAAAATTTCCTTAAACTTCTTCGACAGTAAATATACTCTCCAACCTGGCGTCGAAAAAAGGGACTTTAAGCAACGAGAACGGGGACGGCGACGGGGACCGCAGGCTCTCAGGGAAACTCCAAATAATCATCTGCGCATGACTGGCGGGAAAAAGTTTGACGTTCTGCGTTCGGACCCGACGTGAAACGAAGTCACTTTGACGTAAGCTGAAAACGTGAGTATCCTTTTTCGTCTTCTCTGTCATCTAAACGTTAAATATTCCCGGGATACAATTTAAAATAACTTTCATCGCTTTTTCTTTCATAAAGTGAGGTTATTTTTTAATTTGATAGTTTGTTTTTAAACAGAAACGTCGAGACGCTGATCGAGATCGAAGTGTTAAACAGACCTGCTAATCAGTATTGTAAGACACGCACTCAAAACTGTACGCCATTTAACTTAGCAAGTTTACAATTATCAATAATCATAGTCAAACCTTACTTCTAAAAATTATTATATATGTTGAAAATATATTTTACGACAGTATTACAAAAGTTCCTTTCCTTCTTCTCCGACCGGTTCTGTCATTTTGTTGTTACTACATGTCACGGCTTATTCTCGGAAATCAACCGGATGTGGTTCCTCTCAGTTCTCTCTAGAAATGTATTAGACTTCAAGGCGGAAGTGATCCTGAGCTCCTAAGACACCTTTAACGAGCTGGTTCCAAGAAGTCAGGGCAAACCCTTAAAAGCTTTACACTTAGTAGGGGAAAAAAAAAAAGATATTAGATAAAAATCTCAATAATGTGTCGGTAATATTTTATGGCAGCTCTATTATAAACTTTCCATTTTTAGCTCATTCTAAATTTGCCACGTTCTCATTGTCCTCTTATTATGTCACAGATCTTTCGCGGAAATCAACCTCTCCAAAATATGAATTTGATTGGCTCATTATTTCAGATACGTGTCAAATTTGCATCAGTTATTATTTGCTCTGCTCGTTCTCTCGACTCTTTGTGGTTTAGACCTTGATTTCTTACCAGTAGACTGAAGCTTCTAAAAATCAGGTGAGATATTTTTCGTTGAAACGTAACGCACACGCTTGTTCTATTTAATTGAGCCAATATCAAACTATCTGTGGACGCACGGTTGTGCGTGTATAGCATAACGTTTACATTTACAATTTGCTGCAAAGCTCTAGTCCAGTTTAAATGGTCAATATTGTTTTATACCAATTGAGACAGCCTCATTGGAGTAAATGTAAATCAAAATTAGAATTGCTGAAGAAACCTATGTTTCGAAAAACTAGAAAAAAAGCTAGATTTGATCTCGGCCGCTCTTACGCTTGCCACGTGCTCTCCAACCTTGCCAAGTGCATCCATTCTTTGATTTAGAAAGAAGAAAGAAATTTCCCAGATAATTTAGCTGTTCACTTTGTATATTCATATTCAGTTTTTAAGATGCAAAATTAATCAACAAAAGAACTGGGTCGAAAGTTCCAATCCAAGCAATTTTGATTTTAACGTATTTTGCTTGCTGTTTTATTGAAAAATTATCATACTTTGGTAGCAAAACATCAAACATTCGATGTTACGTTTGACGATGGATTCCCCTGACTGCCTTCGTTAAGCCCGCGACCAAAGATTTTATAACATGATAAAAACTTAAGTCAGCAAAAGCTATTTTATCGACAATGTGAGAGAAACACGTCTATGAAAGGTTCTACTGTGTTCGCTCCACCCCCTCCCCCCAGGTGAAACGGAAGCGAGAGAACGGAATTCCCTAACTTCTGTTTTACCTTGCGGGGGAGGGTACAGCTAGACTTAGGCTAAGAACTTCGTATACTGGGACTTTTCAGGACTATTTAGAAGGTAAATGTTGACAAAAATTGAGACTCATGTTGAAGGAAAATGAGAAAGTATCGTCGACATTCATTTAACAAAAAATGTATTATTTATTCTTCTTTTGTTTTCTCTTTAACAACAAAAGTCTGTGACTAAAACATTTCGCACACTTTTTATAATTAACCCTCATATCTCTTGGTGATAAATGATCTTTGATTCAGGTAAAACTGTATTTGCAGCATGTCTGGCGAAAATGACTGAATGACTGAATGGAAACCTTCCACTTTTTGGTTAATTTAGATACCATTTTGCAACCGAACTATAATCTGAGACAAAAGCTTATTAACCAGTCACTGTTACTTGTAGTATGATTAAAGGTACAATCGAAAAACCATTTGCATTATATTTCATGAATTTCTACTTTATTTACGAATTTCATGTAGATCATGTGGCTTTGGAACTGGTTGTTAGGAGATGCTACCTGAACGACAAAACTTCGTGAGTTTTTGGCCAATCACGTAAAGATTTCCGAAGCTGATATGACTCGCAGCAAAAAGCTGGTCAAGGACTTCATTGAAAACCAGGTGATGTGGTACTGTCGAAAGAAGTCTACTCTTCCGATTCTGAGACTTGAATATACTGGCAGTGTTTATGAAAGGCTGAAAACTGAAGCTGCCGATGAAGTCGATGTCATGGTGGTTTTAAAAACTTCGACGCCATGGTTATGGGGCGATCCAGAAGTCATGGTCGAGGACTCGGATGTACCAGGGTACGTCCGACTTAAAGCGAGAAGCGATTCCAAATTCCGCCGATACGCAGATCCTGAAGGTTACATAAATCCTGAACGTCTTCGTAATGGCTGGTTCTACAGTCTCGTTGACAAAGCAGTGGACGACTTTAGAGCTAGAGTACCAAGATCTGACTTGGACATGATGGTGCGCCAACACGGACCCGCTGTACAGGTAGACATCTTTAAGAAGGAACCATACGAATATCTCTTATCTGTTGACCTCGTTCCATGCTTTCAAATCGGGTCGGATAATTACTATGTGGCAAAGTCGTACAGTGGGAGACGATTCGTCTCTAGTTCAAGTCTTCTCTGGAGGCAATCGTTTTCTTTGAAAGAGAAGCAACTTCTCGAGTACATGGATAGAGATCGTGGCTGTAGGCACGAACTCCTCAGAATAGTAAAGACCATCGTTAATCGAGAAAGATCCTCCCTTGGAAAATTAGAGTCATACCACTTGAAGACAGCTTTCATGCACTATATCAAAGAGAGGCGCCATTATTGGAATACGCGAACATCGCTTGGAGATCACTTCGTTGGATTTCTGGGTTACTTGCAAAACTCCCTTGAGCAAGAAAATCTTCCACACTACTGGCTGGACGGCGTAAACATTTTAGATGACATTGACCAAGTAGTGATTAGACACATGGCTGCTCGGTTGAGGAGAATCCTAAATAGTGAAGTAGAACGGAATCAAATTCTTTCATAGATAAATAGTCTCCATTAACTATCCTGATACCATAACTTTTGAAAGTCCAAGCGGATCCATGATTTACATTGCCAAGTTTCTGTCACAGAAAAGCTACTTGTAAACTAGGACAAAACTTAACTGAACAAATCGAATTCTTGGGTAGGTTAAAGGTTTTCCTATATTTTCTTTTCCACTACTTTGTTTGTTTGTTTGTTTGTTTTTTTCTCTTGTTATTCATTTATCTATTCGTTTATGTCTTTCCCTTAAAGCTTTAAGCATGGGTCAGTTTCTTCAGGTCATGCATGAATTTAATAATGCAAGCTGAAAATCGTGGCGTTGAGTATTTTTCCTTGCGTGAATTTCAAATGAATTATATCGTTGCAATTTTTAATTTCAACGGAAATACAGAAAGAAAAGTTTATACGATTAGAGAACTTAATAAAATATTTTAAATCACCCACCTTTTTTGAACTCTTAAAGGGAAAAAGTGCCCGAAGCTTTCTTATTTATTTATCTTATTCTGGAAATTCTTACCGTTTCCGCTTCGACAGGCACAAAAAAATTAAACAAAAGCAAAGAACTTGCTGTCCTCATGCAAATATGATTGGTTGATTTGTATTTATTCGTATGCAAGAAACTTCCATGCAATATTTTTCGATCTAAATGCGTAATTGAGCATTATTTCATACGCTTTTCAGTCAAAAAGTAAAAGATTCGACATTTTCACTAGTGACTTTTGTCATATTGTGTTTTGTGATATCTGCACAATACATCAACCACAAGTCATATCTATCATGTCTATATATAGAGTCCTTTAAGTATTGACTTATTCTATCATGAAAAAAATAAAATGATATGTTTTGCGATTATAGATATCATTGCTTTCCGAGGACATTATAAACATTAAGATCGTAAAGGGATACCTCTTTGCAAGAAGATTCGAAAATTCGAAAACAAAATGGTGCATACAAGATGAAGGGATTTTACCTATTTCTATTTTTGGTGCTTATGACACGAAAACATATGGGCTTCGGCAAATCTTATTGATTTGCAAGCACTTTTGAGACTTATACTTTGAAATATTATTTGAAACCGATCCATTGAGCTTTCTTTGAAGTTCTTTTTATGAGACAGGACTGCGGACTCAACCTTTTTCATCGAAAAGCTTTCAACACTGATGGCAATATTTTAACATGGATCGAAAACAAAAGAATGGTGCAGGGGAAACCCCGACACGGTTCTACTGCGTCACATTATCTATTTAACTCTCGTTTCACTTTCACTCGTCGGTTGGACTGAGTGCGCCACCGTTAAGACGTTAAAAGCGGTATTTAACTACTCGAGTCTTGATTCACTTGCTAGTAAAAGCTTCCACGGCTGACGCTATTACAGACCAACACATTCTTTACAGGATTTAATAAGGATCGAAAATTTCCTCTCTATAGGTAAGGACAAAAGCAATTTTTCCTGTGTTAGATGATCAACTTATTGTGTAAGTTTCTGTTCCTTTCTTCGTTACTATCGATTATTCATATGATTCAATGAATAACAAGCCTCACTCGTAAGAGATCCGTTTTGGCTTTTATTTCATTTATAGCTTTGAATGAAAGTCCTGTAATTATATTGATGTGTCTGCTAATGCTGGTGTGGATACTCGCCCGACACGCTTTGTTAGGTGATACATACAAGCATCTCAAGCTTGCTCCTTTGAACGTTTTCTAGTAATAATTGTATATCTGCAATGGGTAGGCATGGCTATATCTGGCTCCGAAAAACTGTTAGGTCCGTAGCTTTCCCTTCGTGAACAACGAATGTACGTGAAAATGAACCAGATTTTTCCAATGAGTACCGAATGGGCACGATATCATAATTGGAGCCAAGCGATAGAAACTGTGATTATGAACTGGGAAATTTACATTTCGCTCAGGTGCTTTGGGACTGAGGTATTCACTTTCATAAGACGAACTTATTTTTTTTGAGAGCCATCTGCTTTTCTGAGAAGACATGAAATTAGCATTGAATTATTTGCATAATTTCCTCTCAAACGCTCGGATCATGACCATTCCCCTCTGCTTGTAGATTATATCTTTTTTTGCGATGTTCGTTGTTAAGAAGTTCAAGTTAAACATGAAAATTGCTATTTGATATGCTTTTTAAGCATTAATGCCATTTTGGGGTCTTTGACGAACCGAGTTAACAGAACAGGGTCACTAGTTTCGTAACTGACGTTCGATCTCACTCAATTAGAATTGTAAACCGCCTTGAGACAGTATGTGATATGCGCGGTATATAAATACACATTCAAATACATTCAAAACTTGTAATTTTGGTCCGCCATGACTATATCAAGGCGGAATAATTGACGTGGTGAAAACCCATCAAATTAAATACCCATCGCCGAAAATTACAGGGCAGCAAATACTGATTTTAACTTGTAGCTAGATTTATGAACACTTAGGGTATGCGGGTATTCGTCTTAGTTAAAAAGGAAAATTTAAAAAAAATACATTTAAAATAGGAAGAAGAATTCGAAAATGCTTGTTTCAGGCGCGCTAAAACGGAGCGAAATGTTAAGCGGCGTGATTGTAGCGGCGGAGTGAAAAAAACGAGAGTGGTTTGGGTCAGGTTATGCGGGTAAAGCAGAGCAGTGAATAAAAGTAAGGAAGAAGAGGATGCAGTTTAGGAAGGAAGGAAGGGAAAATGATTATCACAATTGTGAATGTTTTTCTGTATTATTTCCTGAGCAGAGTAATATAGCACTCTGACTCAGCTCGCATGCACGAAGAGCACCGAATGCATTTCTCTTTTCCATCATCCACATTCTATTTCCATCATTTCATGGCATTTATTTAACGAAAATATCGTGATTTCTCCGTAAAATATGTGAAGATTTTTCCTCATGCAAAATCAAAGATCATTGAAGACCAGATCCAGGCGCGTAGCTGAAAGTTTTCCAAAGGGTGTTTAACGTAATTGTGCGCCGGAGGCGCACTTTCCTAGGGGGGGTCCGGGGCATGCTCCCCGAAAATTTTGAAAATGTAGGTTTCTGAAACCCAATTTCCCGCAAGACCCATTTTAGGTGAAGAGAGGCCGTTTTAAAACAAAATAAAGAAACTGTTTTTATTTTGAAACGGCCTCGCAGTTATAAAATTTGTATTTCAGTCCGCCATTATCGAACTTCAAAGGGGGTTCGTTCGAACCCTTCGAACCCCCCCTCCTACGCGCCTGAGATCATAGTGTACTGTCAAGAGAATTCTACGATTAATATATTAAAGTTGGAGTATACCGGCAGTTTTTACGAGGGGCTGAAGACTGAAGCTGCTGATGAAGCCGATATCATGGTAATACTGGGAACGCCAAGCTCAGCAGGAATCGAGGTTATAGATTCCCGAGTGCCCGGGTATGTTCGTCTAAGAGCAAGAAATGCTCCGATGCTCAGCAAGTATTTGAGTCCAGAAGGTTACATTGACGCTGAGAGCCTTCGAGATAGTTGGTTCCACAGCCTTGTTCGCCTGGCAGTGAATAATATCAAACCTAAAGCACCTTTCTCTGACGTTCGTCTGGTTGTGCGTACCCACGGGCCGGCTGTCCAGGTGGACATTTTTGGGAAAGGATCTAAAGAGAAGTTATTATCAGTTGATCTCGTCCCTAGCTTCCAAGTCGAGGAGAGCTGGTATGTGCCCAAGCCTTTTGAGGGAAACCGATATGTGTTAAACAACGAGCTTCTCTGGAGAAAGACATTTTCACCGAAGGAGAAGCAACTCCTAGCGTCGATGGACAGCAAAGACCATGGCTGTAGGCACGAGCTCTTACGAATCGTGAAGACCGTAGTCAAGAGACCGGTGACATCTTTACCATTGGATTCATACCATTTGAAGACCGCCTTCATGCACTACATTAAGAAAGGAGGCCTGGACTGGGAGAGTGGAGACGCTTTGGGGAAACATTTCCTTGGATTTCTTACAGAATTACAATTTCATATGGCGAGCAGAAATCTTCCCCACTGTTGGTTGCGTGGTGTTAACGTTCTGGATGATTTCAAGAAAGGAACAATTGAGCAGATGGAGAATCGGTTGAGAAGCATCCTAAACAGCGAAGCAAAATTGAACAAGATACTCGAATAGCCTTCAGGACTCTGTCATGTCTGTCTCTTTCGTACCATCGATGCCATCTATCCTTTTATTGAACTCTCAGTTGTTGCAAAAGGAAAGGGCTAAATGGAAGTGTAGAACCTTGTTTTCAAGATGTATATTAATCAACTTTTAATCTAGCTTTCTAGTAATTATATTTAAAAAAGGCATTGTAAAACTTGTAGCGTAAATGTGTTCTGTTTCTTTACCCTACGTCAGTTGTATTAATGCAAGGATAAGAGTAAGCAGCATAAGTTGGTAATGTAAAGTACAGCAAAGAGTGAAATATTTTAAGTAACGTCACCAAATTAGAAACATCAGAGTCAACGTAATCCACCCAGTAACGTGACTTAATCAGAAGTATTGTAACAAACGCATGGTAGAACTGTGGGTAAGGTAACGTAATTCATAGAATTGCTGCACGTATTGTATCTTAGATTGTATTTGTATTGTATTGTCCGCTTTGTTGATGTTTTTTTTGGGGGTAATCAGAATGAAAATTAAAAAAAAAAAGAAAAATCAAATAATGTGCATTTTGAGACTAAAAAACATGAAGTGAAAGCATCCGGGTCTCTCTTTATTGCACACTTGACACGAAAACAAAACGCTTACGAACTTGCAAATACTCTTCAGGCAGATAACTAAAGATATCCTATTTAACAGACCAGTTGAGTGTTCCTTTGAAATAGCTTATGTAACGAGAAACCAGATTTTACCTTTCTTTCGTTTTTGAGCATAAGACTGAACATGTAGTTTCCCGTGTTATTTAAAGCACCTTGCTGCCGCAATATACAGTGCTTTTGTAATTACTTTCACTAGAAACAAAATCTTTTTCTGACAATCACACACCTTTCTGAGAAAATCGGAAGTACTGTTTAACCTTCATATTTTCCTATGGGGCTGGCAAGCAGAGCCTATTGAATTGCCAGCTCTTTCCTGTCAAGGAGCCAATTTAAAAAGCTTTGTTGAGCTGAGTTTGCGAACCAGGGTTATTGTGTCTTTGTGTCTGTAATTTTGTGGTCAAAAGTAGCAGCACGTCATCCCATACGTATCTTGTTGTTTGAAGAACCGAAGCTTAGATATAATATTATGCAACTATTTCCTAAGTTTTGATTGGCGTTTCTAACTTTGCACTGCCCTTTGACAGAAACGAAAGGGTATCACTGCTGATTTTTACCTGTCATTAGAACTTCGGATTCTCGAATTGTAGTGGAATTCGATTTTATTTGATGAAAAAAAAAATTCAATAGGAAAAGAAATGTAATTTGAGAATTATGTTGGTGGTATGTTGATAGGCATTCGTTCGCAAACGCATGGAATTGTACTCGTGATCAGTGAAAGCCGAAGTCGCTGTTATCGCATTCTTCGGTCATCAGCAATGCACAACTTCTGGGTTATCTTCGTCATCAACATAGTGGAAAAGCCCACTTCCTCAGTTGTATCTCAATGAACTTTCTTTAGATTCAGTTTTGTATATCGTTTGAACTGTCGTTTTCTATTGAACAAATTCGCTCTTTTGTGCTGACAGTTTCAACTGCGGATAACGAAACCAGTAGCCACAAAATTCGAATGCACCTACAGTGTAGAAATTAGATCGCAAAAGAAAGATGAAGATTTTTTTCGTCGGCAGGAAAGCTGCACTTTTTGACCAACACGGTTGTAGTCTGCACAGATACATTCAGAGACAGTTTTGAAAAGTTGAAAACGTTCCGTTTTCTAGCGCAACGTTTACAGCCAGGTATTAGAAACAGTGAGGTAGAAGGTGATGTCACGGAATCTTCCCCCACTCGTATTTTATTTCTTGGCGATCGACACGATCACCTGTTCGCAACAAGAAGCCCAGCAAAACTAACTAAATTTGCATTGGAGGCTTTAGAAAAAAGTGATCTAAGAAGCGTGACATACGGTCGCTTGAACTTGATTCACGTTTTCACGTACTTGGACAAATTCAATTCTTGAGGAGCTGTAAGTTGTTCTTTCTTTTCTTTTCTATTTTTTTTTTTAATGTTTTTATCTAATTATTAATCTATTGAGTTCTTCATTTTCCTCATATCCCTAACCATGATTCAGTTTTCAGGTTATTTATGAGTATAATAATACAAGCTGATGTGGAAGGCTACATCAGTCACAGCAGCCGAGCTTTATAGCGCTGTCATACGGTACAATTTCATATCCCTATGCATTCGGCTGTCGTTCATTCATAAAACACACGCCCTGAGAAGTTTGTTTTATAGTTGTTGTGTTAAACTTGCGTGTTTTTATGAGCGACAATTCAGCCAGATTTCACTGAACATTTCACTTTCAGATTCTGTATTAGAGACTAAAAAACTTCAAGCGAAAGTGTTAAATTCGACCTGCCGAACTATTCCAGTTGTAAACTATTGCAGATTGTGGACTTTGCTGGTTTGTAAATTTTGACGGTTTGAAATTTTTGACCGCTGCAGTCTTAAATAGAATGAGAAAGATGGTCAATTTTAAGCTCGGTAAAAAAAAGACGTTTTTCGTCTTGTCGAAAAATTGCTGAGTCCCCACAAGTCTTTCTCTATTTCTTTACCGAGCTTAAAACTTAACATCTTTTTAATTCTATGTACAAAACATGACGCTATCGACATTGCTGATCCTAGTAGTATGCAGGTGTCATATATGAAGTTCTGTGGCTCAATAGTGGAGTATTGGAGCGCGGAATCCGAATGTCTGAGGTTCGATTCCTCATGGAGACTCACAAGACGTAAGGATTCTTACTGGCTTATTGTAGCGTACTTTATGAAAGTATAGAGCATGCGACACAGTTCGCTTCGGAAATAAGGCTTGTTTTCTTGTTTTCATAAAACAATTAGAGGAGCCTTGATTGTGTTCTGTTCTGTTGTAAAGCGCTAAGAGAACGGCTAGAGCACTAACTGTAAACCAGGCAAAGCATTTTAGGTAGAGATCTTAATCGTTATCACATCATTATAATATTTGAGTAGTCTAATAACACGGCAACACTCTAATCTTGACTAATGAGGGGTAAAATCTGTTTGATAAATTGTGTCGGTCATCAAACCTGGCAATCAGTGACTTTTTTTAACGTTTTTGATAACAAACTTGGAATGAGTAATGGTTATTACTGAAGCAACCGGCAGATAAACAAGGCATTCTGATTTTTAGACAGAAATTTCATCGAGTTTGAATCCCTCATTTATTAATGAGTCAAGGAACCAACCCATGTGACATCAACATTGAGCGGCAAATCATGTCTTTCCATTTTATCTTCTGCAAACAATGAGATGGAGGTAATTAACTTTGATTTTTTCTGGGTTTTTTTTAATCATTTATTTATTTATTTATCATTACAATTTTTTTTTATTTCATGGAGTTTTATTAAATATAAATGGGATGAACAAAAAGCTACTGATTACTGATGAAAGGTGAAAGTATTGCACATCGTATACTTCTTCTGTGTGTTATAAACTGCGACGTGTAGCATGTTTCTGTTAATGCCTTTTTCTCAGCGAAAGTTTATTCCGCTCTGATTTTCCACTATTGTTACTTTTCTTGTTGGTTCGAAAGGGGCACAATGTGACCATGGCTTTTACCGCCAATGGTTCAGTACATTTTCGGCCAAATTATTGCTATCGGTTACTTCAAAATGGTATTGAAGACAGGAAAAATTACGGTCAACTATTTTTACGACAAACGGTTTAAATTATTCAATGTTTACGGCCTAATGGCTAATTTGATGGCTGTTTAACAGCTTTTTAGCGATTAACGCCATTGAAAAGCTCGCTTAATAGTGCCTAATAGTGCTTTAGTTTCAACCTACATCATATGCAACCTACATCATATTCTGAAATAGAAAAGAGTCCAAAAGGATGCGAATGTTTTGAAATTAAGCGTCCACCGTGCAATGAAGGTAATCTAAAAGTATACATAAATATCCCTGATCTTGTATGTTGGTCTCCCGCACGAGGTACCAGTGAAAATTCCAGCCTTCTCTGCCATCGGTTTTCTTCTGAGAACAACCGTTGCGCGCCGCAAGCCCTTTTGACTTTTCCAGAAATTTGTTGCCAATTTGTCGCATCTTCTAGTTTTACCATCAAATGCGTGTGCTGCGGCAAACAAAAAAGATGAATCTCAGTTTGTCTAAATCGTTTATTTTGCATTCAGGTCGTTTCTTTTTTTTCTTTTCGGACAATCGATTTTGGATTATCTATAGAGCGCGTGTGGGACAAAAAAAAATGGCTATTAATATGAAACAGTTTTGTGATCCAGGGAAAATGAAACACCTGAATTGTCAATTCCACCTTAAATGCTCCTCAAGAACAAGTATCGCCTCACTAAGGTTTTCCACGAGAAATTCAAAATTTAATTCCTCCGTTAAAATTAATTCAGCAAAAGAAAATGCCACTTACAGTTTAAACCCATGCGGTACTCATCTGTAATGACGTCTCCTGCTTTTGCATTGAACGGATACAATCCTGTCGACGTGTTGGAGATATATAGTCCACCGTACCTGAAATTGAGGGCGAATTTTTCATTCATTTGCTATGTTTCACTCGAAAAGTTTTCCCCTGACACATCATAATTGCAAGGCAGTGTAGATAAAAAATAAGACGTGACGTTCGAGTCCTTATATTATTTCTTACTTTTTTTGTTTGAATTTTGTTGTTTTCGTTTTAACTTTTTTTTGTTTTTTTGTTTTTACAAAAACGATAAAAAAAATGTTTGAAATTTTCAAGCAAGCTTAATGAAACAGTCAAGCTATTTTTTTCCCCCTTGGTCGTGAAGTCGTAAATTGCATCTTTATGTATATTATCTTTGTTTAGTATTCGGATAAATTATTCATAATCTTTACCATTCATCGCCAAAAATGCTCCAGCATGACGATCTTCCGCGAAATTCTTGGGTATACTTTATCATTGTCCAGTATCCTTTAATGAGAGTCAAGGCCCCAGACGGTGGTGCAGATCCACAGCCAGATGACGTCACACGTCCTGAAATGGTGAGCCCATTATTTTCTTCATCGTAGGTCAATGTAACTCCTCCCGTGAGTGCGCTGTCAATCCATGACTTAGTGATTCTTTTCCATCCTAAGTATTTGATTTTCAGACAATGATGAAAATATCATCCTTTAAATTAAAGTGCGGTTTGACAAAAGGCGAGAACCCGATGGAACACTCGTTGGGAAAGCAAATGTTTCGCTCTTTGATGCCGCTCATCAGTCATGTAACTGATGAAGGCCTGCGAGAATTTAATTTCCAATGCTATGTTTTTGGGGGTCCTATAATCAGACAGTGAAATAAATAAAGAAAAAGGAATCTAGCTCGCTCATGTGTTGATCTACCGTGAAGCTATCAAAAAGCGACACTGTCTGCACTTAGGCCTGCGAGAATTTTATTTCTATGCTATGTTTTTGGGGGTCCTAGAATCAGACAGTGTTATGAATAAAGAAAAAGGAATCTAGCTCATATGTTGATCTACCGTGAAGCTATCAAAAAGAGACGATGTCTGCACTTGGATAGTTCCTTATCTTTTAACACATACATTACAATTGAGGAATGAAACTGAATCTCTTCGGCATTAGCCAATTTTGAAAAGATTCGGTTTAGTAATTGAACCAGTAGCTAACCAAAGGACTGCTGAGATTAGTCTGTTAGTGATTCAGTTGTTCAACAAGTATTTCTTATCCCAAAGAAGTCTATTATCATATCACCGCGTGCAAAAGACTCTCTACTTACTCAGATCAGGGAGTTTCTCAGCGTAGACAAACATTTTCCTTTGCTGAAAGTTTTCAGGTCGACTTCTGCTCATCTCTGTGCTAAGCTCGCAGACATTTTCAGCAGCGTTGTAATTCAAACTTTGGCAGACCGGATTTTTTTGGCAGGTGATATGACAAAGATGAAGACTTTCTGAAGGGGACGATTTAAACACAGATCCTACCAAGATAAATCCATATTTCGAACTTGTAGATACACATTGCCGCGTGGCCATCAAAAATTGAAATTGTAACGCCAGGATTGATTGAAATAACACAATTCGTAAATTAGTCATTTCTCCTGTTTGCTCAGTATAAGAAGATCGTACGATTTTCTTAAACAACTTTATTGACACGGTTGCTACAGCTGCTTTAAAAAACAATAAAGTTGCTTTGGGAAGCTCAAACGAGTTTGTTATTTTCAATGTCATCAAATATTTATATCTATTCATAGTATCTATTTTTTCCTGCAGCTTTGAAAAACACGTTGAACGCTTTTTGTTATAAATTCATCTACATTTCTAGGACATTGAGAACTGATTGTAATATGAGCTAAATCCTAAACTTTTTCTTAAATTGTGTGGGTAAAAAGAAGACTCTCTGTGAAAACAGAAAAGATGCGCTGATGACGCGAATCATCTTTATTGTAATACAAACTTGGGAATAATACTCGAGAATATCAGCCTGCTGCGCGGTAAATCTGAGCGGAAATACTTGATGTATTGTAGTAAAAGTTACCATAGGTCGTATCCTTTTTCATCGTTGCTGTATATTTTTTTGCTCGAATGAAGCTTCTCAGATCCGCTTATTGTTTTTATCTTGTTTTTGTTGTTGATGTTCGCCTTAAAATGATAAGATTTTAAAAAGTTTGACGAAAGGCGCTTCCTGCAACGGATGTTTTCAAAAGCGAGAATGGGGAGCGGGGAAAGGGAAAATAAAATGGGAAATTGAAAAGGAGAAATTAATTTCCTTTTTTTTTTTTTGTGCAATATTTATTTTTTTGTTTAATATGCGGAAAAGAAAATTTTCAGCGGCGATTACCGATATCCACTTTCTTTCAAAAACGTTCATAGGCAAAATTTGAGGAACGGAATAAATTGATGATAAAGAAAGAAGTGATACATGACACCTAAAGAATGTTGTAAAACTAAATCTTATTCATTTCATCAGTAAACAAGTGATAAGGTAAATTAAATATGCTGAGATTAATGAAAGGGCCATTTGAATGCTTATTTTAATATTAACGAACTAGAAGTTTCAAAGAAGTTAACCGAATAATGCTTGAATTGTTCAGAGTCCAAGTCACTATTCAACTCCGATCGACAAACGAACCCATAGTTTTTTTTTTTGAAAGTGATAGAGGTTCGCTTAAGAGATAAATTTCGGCGAGAGAAAGCACTTTTCTCACTTTCAGCTGCTGAGAAATCGAAAAATCATATTAAAGAATAATTTTACTTTGACGACCAAAAGACGCACCGAGCACATAACGAACCTAACAGGTTTCAGATTAAAATTTGCACGAATATTGGATGCGAGTTTGCAGCCAACTCTTCAACTTCCAAAGGGTTTCCCGCAAACATGAGTAATCTCGCCCTTGAAGTATGAACAAACGTGTATATTTCTGTGCCAAAGGGGAGCTATTTTGTTTATTATCCTTCAAATAATTTGCAACATTACATAAAAAATGTTTACGAACAGTTAACCATTCATTGCGCGGAATGTTCTCTTTTCAGTGTTCACTAGTACGATTTTATGTATAAACAAACATTTCCCCTCTTTTTTTAACAACCACGAAACGCTCTCTCACCTTAAATTAATTTTAAACGAGGACTTATCGTACTGTACGTAGGGCTTGAAAATTAAGGAATATCACTTGGGGTATATCCTCAATTATGATCCATCAAATATTTTTGCTAGCTCATGACTGGTCTAAATGCTTCACGTTAACGAATATTACCTACCTAAAACTGGGGGATATCCAAGGATATCACCCAAGTAATACTCCCCAACTTTCAAACCTTAAGTGATAAGTCTTCGTTTAAAATTCAATTCAAGATGAAAGAGTGTCTTTTGTTTGTTAGACGAAAGGAAATATTTTTTTTTTCATAAAATCATTCCAGAGAACACTCGAAAAAGAACATCCCACGCAGAAAAAAAACAATTTTCCATTTTCAATTTCCCATTTCATATTCCCATTCCCAATTCCCCATGCCCTGTCCCACTCTCCATTCTACCTTTCCATTCCCCACTCCCAGTCCCATTCCCCAGTCCCATTCCCCACTCCCCATTCCCGCTTTTAGTAACATCGTTCTTTGTAAAGGGCACGTGATATGAATGAAAACGAAAGGAATTGCTAATCTTAATGATTTATAGTTACTGTTGAGGGGGGCAACTGAATCTGACCAATTCATCTTCTCTTTAAACAGTTTATGCACGAAGAGTGGATATTCTACCGGTCTATCTACAAAGTTTCCTATTCTCATCCCAAAATAATACGCTGAGTTGGAAAAAAAAATGCAGTGCAAGGGATTTTTCCCGACTCACCTACCATTACGTCACATCTGTTTATATAAGTCAGTTTTGCTTTCAGTCGTTCCAGTAACCTCTCCTTCACACAGAATTTGCTGAAGTCTGTCTTGAAAGACCGCATTTATTTCAAGTGGTTCAGTCTTAATTACTACACTTGGGAAAGCTCCATTGAATAAACTATCAGGGAGTGACATATTCTCAATAGGAATTGTGAGGACGTTGTTGGAATTGTCAACATTCGGTAAGACCGAATACATTTGTTTTCGTGTGTTAGTCTACGAATTGAATGATCGTTAATTTCTATTAGCTTTTTACTTATTTACATTGTAAGGAAACCTGGAGAGTCCAGTTATGATACTCATTGTCTGAAATCAAAGCCTTGCATGCGAGCGTGATTGAATCGCTACTTCGTGACGCTCTGTTTGGGCCAAGATATACTCACATGCATGCCTCCGTTAGACTGTTTCTCTGGTTAATTTTTCGTAGGAATCTATATTTGCAATGCTTGTACATACAACCTCTGATGAATTGACTTTTCTTGTTTTATTTGATTCTTGCAAATCTCTTATACGACGCTTTTTGTCGCGGACAACAAATTGTTCGTGAATGACTAGTAAGCTAAAAAAAGTAACAAACATCCATATTTATTCGGATGACCAGCCGGAGTGATGTGAAACTAAAGGATATGAAAATAATATTGATATGATTTTAATGTTGTGAACAGATGAGTATTCATGGAATATTTAAATAGAACATCAAGCCGCAATAGTTCATCGTGAAATCATCTAACTTGCACTTGTGTGACGCAAATTTGAAAGCGAAAACAGCATATGAACCGACTCGCCTACCAGTACGTCACATCTGTTTATATGAGTCAGTTTTACTTTAAGTCGTTCCAGTAACCTCTCCTTTACACAGAATTTGCAACAAGTCTGTCTTGAAAGCCCGCATTTGGTTCAAGTGGTCCAGTCTTAATTACTACACTTGGGAAAGCTCCATTAAACTATCAGGGAGCAACACATTCTCAGTAGGAATTGTCAACATTCGGTAAGACCGAATACATTGTTTTCGTATGTTAGTCTACGAATTGAATGACTAATTTTCCTTCCTCGTTAATTTCTATCAGCTTTTAAACTTTTTAAAGGAATAATGCAGACTATTTTCACCTTGCGGTGACAACGTGACCTCTTTCATGTCACAGAGATACATTTGAACATTACAAATTAGTACATCGCCAAAGATTTTAGTCTCCTCTTATTTCTTTAACCGTATTGAAAGATATTTCGCAAAATAGTAATTTTAGGAGATACTATTTTGCGATCGAAATGGACTATTAGTCGATTTCGCAAAATAGTAACTCTCCTAAATTGCTACTTTGCGAAATGAATAAAAATCCTTCTTGTTAATTGATGATTGCTCCAAAATTATTGCGAAAGTTATCTTTACCTTACACAAAATATATCCAGCAATATCTCGCCTGGTTCGTCTCGTCAGTTTCGTTTCGTTTTGCAGAACAGTATAAACCTTTCCTCTCCTTATTCGAGGACCAGCTGAGGTGATGTGGAACCGAATGATTTGAAATAGATATTGATACCACTTTTAATCTTATGAACAGATTAGTATTAATTGATATTCAAATAGAACATCAAGCTGCAATAGTTTATTGTGAAATCATCCCACGTACCCTTGTGTGACACAAATTTGAAAGCAAAAACAGCATATGAAATTAGGGGGTTTCCCTACTTCTAGTCGTGCTGACACAATGAGACAAAATAAGAAGGACTTCTGACCCGCCTGCAAAGTA